GTTATGTGACGTCCCACATAATTACCATGTCGTATTTGACATAAGTGTCATATCATACTCTCAATATATGTGGTGTCATATTCTTCATAAGTGTCATGTCATAACTCATGTGAAATGTCGCATGCATGGTTAATAAAGATGTCCAGTACATGAATTTGATATAGAGATTTCCCAACACATGAGATAAATGGATAATTGCCCAACACGAGGACTGAAATGGATTATAGTCCAACACGAGGACTTCTATGGATTATAGTCCAACACGAGGACTGTGCAACTGAGCAAGTATTAGTGATATACAAGGTATGGTTTACTTATGCAAAACTCACACTCAACTCGTCGTGTGATTCTAGGCAAGTATTTCAGGCCATCTATCATGCATAGATGCTTAGTACAACTGAAGATCAAAGTTAGGTGATCGAGGCAAGCGCTCTAACGAGTGTACTATACAGCAGAAACAAATAGGGCAGGAAAAACTGTGCGGCGGTCGACTTCAGAACCCACTCCGGTCAACCGCTCGCAGGCCTGAGAACTACTAGGCTCAGAAACTGAGCGACGGTCGACCGCAGAGGTCATGCCGGTCGACCGCCCAAAGCGCAGAAACAATTCTGCAGGCAGGAACGCGCGACGGTCGACCGCTGAGTCCTATGCGGTCGACCGCTGGGCGGACAGAACCTCATTCTGGGTTCTGTCAGCTACCGAACTCATACAAAAACTTGGGGATTTCTATACCCATTATACTATAACCTTTTAATAGAGAACCATGGCAATACAATAACAACCAGATTAAATGGTTAAGACTTTATTATCAAAAATCCCAAACCTTAAATAACATGATTTTAAAAGTTCTTAAATAGTAAAAATAAGTTTAGCTCTCCTAAAAACATTTCAGATCAAAATCTCATTTATTAAACATCATTAGTGAACCTTTTAAGACTGAAAAATATGATTCTTGCACCTCATGCCATAACGCCTACTTTATCTACAAAAATACGATTTTGGGCTCAATAAAAACCGGATAAAAACTCAAATCTAAGCATAAAAACGAAATGGGATGAAGTTGGGCGAGATGTTACTCGTCTACGACGAAAACGAAGCCCTAGACGATCCCTCTCGCTGAATCCTCCAACAATTCGCTGAAAAGCCCTCCAAAGCTCCTCCAAATCACCAAGGAGTGAGAAACTAGGGTTTGAGGGGGAGAGAGGGGGCTAGGGTTTTGATTTCAGATGAGAAATGGGGCTCTTTAGGGTATGATAGTATATATACTAACCCCACAACCCGACCCGAACCCGACCCGAAACCCATTAAGACCCAACACAGAAAAACTCTCTGCCTGCTGTGCGGTTGACCGTCGCGCCTTGCGCGGTCGACCGCACAGCAGGAGAAAAGTCTCCTGTGTGCCCGACTGCTGTGCGGTCGACCGCCGCGCACATCGCGGTCGACCGCACAGCAGAACAACTGCCTGCTATGCCTTCTATCACATGCTGATCAATCCCCTTGATTTCTCTAACATAGAAATTCTTGCTAGGCTCCCAAACACTATTTATCACATTTATTTAACATATATATATGGTTATTCATCTCAAAAGAAATGTTTACCACTAATAACTCAATATATTCATTAATAAATTTACGGGGTTCTACATAAGGGTTTTATTTAGAAGAAACAACATAAGGATGGTCAGGGTTGTTTCTTCTGCAGTAAGTCTGGACACGTAAAGAAGGATTGTACCAAATATCACGTCTGGCGTGCTAAGAAGGGTATGTTCCTTACTTT